ATGATGAAGTGGCTGTAGACCTAGAGACCTGGGGAAATGTCACTGTCGTAAAAGGCTCAGAGGTGGACTTAGCGAGTGCAGGTCAGGAAGCCACGCTGATGGAAGAGGTCACGTTGAGTCATTTGCCTCCAGACACATTGGTGGAGAGTGGAAAAAACAGCACCTCTCAAGTTTGGTTCTCTAGGTTTGCACTGGAAATACCGAGGGAATAGCGTGCTTCTTCCCCACTGACGGCTCAAACTGCTGCCAGAGAGGAATGGGACAGAGAAGACGTGCATGGGGAAAAACCAACTGAGACGTATGAGGAGGAACCCACTAGTCCAGGGGAAGATAAAGGGACAACTGTAGGACAAGAGCCATTTCAGTGGCTCTCCGAAAGCGACCAGGACTTAGCTGAAAGTAGACAAAAGGGTCAGGAGAATGAATGCAGACAACGTATGGGGTCAGATGAAGAGAGCAGCTCTCTGAGTGCATTACGCATACTGACCAAAAGCGGCTTTGATTTGGAGAAACCTGGTGAGATGCTTTCTGGCAGCAATGCTGCTGCCGTGCTGCCGCTGGGGTGGCCTGAAGATGCAGTGGAGCCTTCGCTGACTGCAAGGGATCACGGCTCTAATAGTAAAGTGGTAATGTTGGCTACAGTGCCGCCGGCCTGCGGGCTCCCAGCTAGCACACAAGAGGAGGCAGAGGAAAGCAATGTGCAACTACGTCCTGACTCTCCTGAGACACAAGAAGTCTCCTCTCCATGGACTGAGCCCCAGGAGATTGAGACGGAGAGCTACGGGGCATCTGGTTTGGAGCTGCACGTGGGGACGCCACCTCCTAAACCTCCAAGGCGGTTCGCGTCCTTGGATTTTAGCAAGGAAGATGACCAGGCCCATTCAGACCTGCAGAGGAGCCAGCGAGGGGTCAGAGGTGACAGTGAAAATGGGGAAAGCCCAGTGGGGGAAATGCATCAGCAAAACATTGCAAGCAGAGAGAACATGGCCCTGGCAGCACCCAGCCCCCCTGCACTGAGACCAGCAGTAATTGAAGCCAAAGCCAGGAGCATCCCTTTAATGGCTGAGGATGCTAAATCTGCCACCGAGGACCGGGCAGCTAATTTGGAGGCGAAAAATAATGAGTTGACGAAGTGGGACGCCTCTTCTGGGGAAAGCCTGTTAGAGATAAATGAGGAGGCGACGGCCGAGCAGTTCGAGACTTGCCCTTCGAAACTCTCCCTAGACGAATTAGGTGCCAAAGACGACTCAGACAAATTGGGAGCCGCAAATCCTGACTTCCCTGCCCATCTAATTGGGGCTGCCCCGTCACAACAGATCACCCAGCTACGCTCCACCGGGCAGGCGGACGGCGCTGGGGGGGGCTCGTCACAAGTGGCACCTGCAGTCCCAGAACTGAAAGAAATCCCCCCTGCAAAACCACGCGCTCCAGGGGACCCTGACATCTGCCAGCCTGTGCTGTTTTGGACGGCTCTGGAGGAGCAGCCCTCGGCCAGCCACAGCCAGGCTGACCAGCCGGAAAGGTTAGGTCTTAGCAAGTCTCCACCTGAGCTAGCATCTAAATCGGCACAGGGAGATAGTGAGGAGCCTCCTGGGCATGAGGAAGGCCCAGGCCAAAGCCAGAAGAATAAAGCAGAAGCCCAGGTGTCCCGAAGCGTGGAAGGGTTGGCAGGCTCTCTGTGGGAGCCGGAGCAGGGTAGCTGTTCAGCTAGGGAGGCCAAGCCATTGCTGGGTCAGTGGCCTGCCCACTCAGTAGCTCCAGTGATTGACTTCAAAAAGGCTGACTTCTGGAAGCAAGAGGGAGCAGAGGAGAGCAGTAGGCGGGATGACACCTGTACTTTGGGCAATCCCTTCACTCCCCTAGCCAGCCCTCCTGCCCCAACCAACCCCTTTGTGGGAAAGCCACCCAGCACCTTCCCAGCTCCAACCATGTCCCCCGAAATGCCTGGCCAGGGAGCTCTCCACTTCAAAGACCCTCACAAGGAGGCTGCTCCTCCAGGCTTCCAGCCCGCTAACTTCCCCGTGGACCGGCTAGCCGAGCATCCTTTCCTGCATGGCAAGCAACCCTTGGCCTTCTCCACACCTTCCCTTGTGGCTGCAACTAACTCTGAACAGTTTGATTTCCCTTCCCCGATCGTGCGTGCTACAACTGGTGGGGTCCCCGCAGTGACCAGCCAGGCAGCAGCCCAGCCCTACCCCTTGCCGCAGCCCGGTGGCCCGAAAGCCTCAACGCTCGTGGTTTTGCCCAAGGAGACACAGCCAGCTGAGAAGGCCTTTTTCCAGCCGACAACCAGGTGAGCACTCTGGGGAAGGCTGTGTGTGTGGTGATAGAGGTAAAACTTCCCTCCCTTCTGCTTCTGGGCCTCTATGTGGGCCCTGCAGATAACATATTAGTTGGCCAAAGTTGTCCAATAACTCATACGGCAAAGGATGTGGCTCCGGCTGTATGAGACCAGCCGCTACCCTCCTGTGTTTGCTCTGAACTAGAGCAAGGATTGCCCTTCCTGAATGCTCTGCCTAGGCAGAGCTGCAAAGGCGAATGGTACTCAATTGGTAATACTAATGTCAGTGTCCCACTCTCCTCTCCTTACCCTCTCCATGCTGCTCTTTCAAAATAGGTCCCTTTTTATACGTGCCCCTTGTGTGGCACTCCGCAGTCTTCCATCCATTAATGCTTTCGTGAAAGCTTCATAGCATGTTTGCAGCTGTTTCTTCCTACATTTAATTCAGCTTTGGTTCCTTTTTTTAATTACCATCAAGTACTAAAATTCTCTTCTTCCCATAGCTAAAAAATGGCTCCATTCTGCTTGCTTGAGTCCTCCAGGGAATCCTGTTCAAGAACAAATCGGATTTGGCTCTGAATATGCAGGGAGTGGGGAGGGAGGTGTTAGAGCTGGGTTAAACGAAGGAAGATCCAGGACAGAGCGGGACGGGCTAGTAATCATGGTGGGTTTCACAGTTATTCCAGTTTTCCTGGAACAAGGAAAAGTCATGGGGATCCGTCCATTCAAGGACCAAATTCTGCTCCTGGTTCAGAACGAGTGATGGAAACTATGAACGCCCATGTGAAGTCTGGCTGAGACCCTGATCTGATCGGCCTTACTTCTGCTATGGATGCAAAAAAAGGAGTGTCTGGGAGACAGTTCAGTGATTTGGATATTCCTACCAGCCTGAGAGGGTAATGCCCTTTCTGCTTGTGAAGAGGTTCAGTAGATGTCTTGTACTAAGGTGTTTTTTTTCCCAAGTGCAAAGCTCTCCTGAGTCAGGAGCTCTGCATTCAGATTGTTTCTAGGATTGGTCTCTCTCTCAGGGGGATTCTTTGTCCATTCAGTGCTTCCATCATGGCTAGATCCTTGGATCATTTCTAATGGGATTATTCTTCCTCTAACAGGTAATTTTGCTCAAAAACTGTTTAAAAATACTTCTCAGATGA